CTTTGCCTTATTGCAATTTAAAAAAATATAGGTTCTAATGAATAAATAGCTGTAAAAGCTTAATAAGCATGTTCTTTATTATTATTTTTTATTTCAAATTGTTTATCTATTCTCATGTGAAAAATGGAAATATCATGTTCTGATCAGATCTGACGAAAATATCATGATTTGTACCAAACTGTTTGGAAATATCATGTTTTGAAAAAGTAAGGTTGGGAAATAACATTTTATGTTCTGGATTTATTATTTATTTAATAATTAAAATATGTGACAAATACACAATTAATAGTGAAAAATCAAATTCTTATGTCTTCTGTATCCATCTCAGTACAAATACATGCTTCATCATCATCTATTTCTTCGTTTTGTTCTGCAATGTTTCTAGAACAGCTTAATATTTGTTTGTACCATTCTAATGCCGAAAGGTTCTCCCAATCTGCACCGAACTGTTTTGTTAATAGACTAGTCACATCATTTTTCTTTGCAGCACTCAGTCCTCGGTCTTCCTGAATTTGTTCTATATTTCTGGGGTGACGTCTGCCCCTTTTCAGTAGTGATATAAACTGTTCTCCGGAGTCAAACCTATAGTTTGGTGAAGCTTTTACTACGCAGTTCAATTGTCTGCCCTGAGAAGATTTGCACTTCTTGATTATAATTTTTTTCATGGATTGTATGCCCACAAGCTTTTTGTAATTAGTTTCTAAACCTTTTATATTATACAGACACCAATCCTTACCAAGCTCGCAAACTCTGCCATGTTTAGAAAATATTTCAAAATATTCTTGCCTTGTAGTAATCATTGGTATTTTTCTCACATCTTTCTCAATTCTACCAAATAAACGGTCCGCTGGCATGAAGCTATGCCCTCGCACTGGGAAATAAAGTTGTATTTCCTTAACATGTGTAGGGGACTTATTTTGAAGCCAAAATAGCAGCATATGCAACACATGGCTGTTTTTATTTTGGCCTCCGCAGCCATCACAAAAAAGTCCTACTAACTTCACATTAGCCGGTATTGTTTGAGTATTCAAGAAGCAGTATAATGCAGATCCAATTGAAACAGCACCCTTGCCAGATTCCGTTTCATCCCAGTTATACAGACAAGAATTATTTTGTTCTGATAGATCCATCACACATAAATTATATAGACTAATCTGACGGGAATAAAAAGCCTCCTGAATTGGTGTTCTAGGTAGAGGAAATACCTGCTGGAGATCAAAACAAATAGTAATACTATCATCAACCCTTTTCTTTAAAAGTTTATAGAAAAAATTTGCTCGCAATTTATGGATGCGAAGTTTTGTCATAAGTTCTTGTTTTTTTGTCGAAACTTGTTCGTTTTTTATACTATTACTCAATAGTATACAGGAACTGCAGGCATCTGATGCAGGTGAACGAAATCCAATGTTAAATTCAAATGTGAACACTTCGTAAAACATTGTTCTCTTGACTTTCAGGTCATTTGGCACACTATTATTGTAAAACATTCTCAATTTTTTCATGTTTAAAGCGGCATCCAAATATACCCTCTTGCTTTTCGCTCTATTGTAGTGGCTTTCACTGCAAGGAAGGTTTCGGAGGAAATTGCGTAAATGTTCTTTTTTCTCATGAGATTTGGCTGAGCGCCTGTCACCTCCTCTTTCTTCCTTTGGAACTTTGCCATCCATCACACATTTCATAATAGTTGATAACCTCTGCCTTTTGATAGAAAATACTGCCATGAAAAATGATTTGCATACCCTTTTCATTATTTTCTTTTTCCCATATAGGAAGAATGATGTACTTAACTTTCGAAGTTTTGTTTTACCAGAAGGCCGTGGTGTGCCTTTGCCTCTACGTTGGGGTTCAAATGCACTAATGAGACGACATAAGTACACGTCTTGGTGAACTTTTTTGGATGTTGAATAAAAGTTCTTACGGTTTCGAACGACATCCTGTTGCGATATTTGTTTACATTTAAAATTGCTTTTTTGTCCATGATTACACGTACATTGAATTCTTAAGCACAGCGGGTCATTGTCAATGTATCTAAAACAAAATAATGCACATATTGTAATCTTGTAACAGATTGAACATTTTACATGCTACACGAAAATATTTGAACGAACTTACTTATTGTTTCTTTCGGATAAAGCTTTCCTTTCTCGACGTTTCTCTTTCTTCGCTCCACTATTGAGTGCACAAACAGTATTTGACTGCTCAGACATGCTTGTAAATCACTTGAAAAAACTTTAAATAACTCAATTTAGGTATTTCTCACTCGCAGTCCCCAATTTTCTTTAAATACCAACCGAATGCGACCGACGACCAATATTTTGACATTGACTTAAATCTGTAGTCATGTGACATATGTCAACCAAACAACGTAACCATAGACAAATAATGTCCTTTTTTACGGCTTCAGCACCCTAAGATTTAAGTAAATAAAGGGTTCAAAGTCGATAAGTTATTTTTACATGGAAATATCCTATTTTGTACCAACTCTCAATCTGCTTACCAAAAATGTATGAAATGTATCATGTTTTGTTCCGATTTTGATTATTTACATTTTTAAATATGGAAATATCATGATTTGCTTCAAACTTTTAACTTGAGGGGCTATTTACCACAGGAATAAGCACGATTTGAACCACACCAGCCTAACGGGTGACGTAATTTATGGTATTCTGTCGAATGTCATTGCTAACTTTTTTTTACAAAAAGTCGAATTATCATGTTTTGTTCCGGCACTCCTCAAATATATAAAAGGAAAAAATAAATATACATAAATATATATTTAATATACTAACATAAATAAATAAATAATACATAAATAAATAACCAGATGGAGGCCATCGGCAGGGGAGACCAAACGGCCGAGTGTTAGGGAAAGGGAAAGAAACCGGCGGACGATGCGGGCGGTATCGAGGAGCACCGCCTTCTGCATTTGAGCCCGGAGCGGTCCGCCACGTAGTTCCAGTCGCCTCTGATGACCCGAGAGGCTGACCGGGATTAGCACATTTGCAGAGACGACTACAGGAATAATTTCGGCCGGCAGACCACCCACATGTCAGTCACCTAGTGAGCCAGGTCCAGATATTTTGTTCGCTTATCTGTTTCGGCTTTCACTCCTGATGTCTCAGAGTTAGAAAGCGCCGAACAACCGGACATGACATGCCTAAGCAACTCACCGGGATGGCGACAAGCTCGACAGATGTCGATGGTGCCATCCTTTAGGATGTATCTCCGATAGTTGTTGGTCTTAATAACCTGATCCTGTATTGCACAGACAAAACCCTCGATTTCCCCGAATAGGTTACCGAAACGTAGCCAGTTGAGGGAGGTGACTGTATCTATGAAGGGCTCATGAAGAGCCCTGTAGTACCTCCCGTGTAGCTCCTTCTCCTTCCATACGGTCTCCCGGTCGGAAATGCTAAGCACTGCTGGGTCCTGCCATCGCTCGTGAGCTAAGGATAGAGGGGTAAGCCCTTTGTCACTAGAAATGACGTCATTATAGAATGGATCATCCGATTTCGCTGGAAAGTAATGACGGAGGCTGCACACTTCGCGATTATGCATGGTGAGCGCGCTCAGAAAACGCCCACCATGTTTTCGCGGCAAGTACAGCCTCATTACCGACGATCTCGGATGATGCATCCTATGGGACGTCATGGTAGTGCGGACTTTTCTATCCAGGGCGTTAAGTTCAGTCTGAGTCCACCTGAGTATGCCAAAGGTATATATGAGGACAGGCATGACCCAACCGTTATATGCGTGTGTCTTATTCACACCGGACAAAAGGCTGTTAAGCACTTTGGTCAAGCGTGCATAAAACACGTCGCAAACTGACTGTTTCATACCAGCCTCATCAATACCGATGTTCTGTGACATACCCAGGTATCGGTATGTTTCAGCCTCGGAAAGGGTCTTTAAGTTGACGGGCATAGATAAATCTATGCCCTCAGAGTTAGCAACCCTTCCCCTTTCAACATGAAGGACCGCACACTTATCCCTCTCCAGCTCCATTCCAATAGAATTGCTAAATTCACAAGTGCTGTTTAGCAATTCCATAAGATGGGAGCGACTGGAGGCGAATAACTTGAGGTCATCCATATAAAAAAGGTGGGTCACTTTTGTTCCTCCCTTCCGTAGCTGAAATCCTCTCCTGGAGCCCTCCAGTAAGGTACTGAGAGGGTTCAGAGAGAGGCAGAACCAGATTGGACTCAGACAATCGCCCCGGAAGATACCCCTTCTTATCCTTATGTGGTTCTCCGCAGCCATCATCCGCTCGGCCAGATAACAGAGGATCGTACTCCACTGCCCCATACACTGCTCGAGGAAGTCTCTAACTGTACAGTCAACCTTGTACAGCTCGAGGACCCTCTTTAGCCATGTATGGGGCACCGAGTCGAATGCTTTTCTGTGGTCTATCCAGACGGCGGAAAAGTTCCCACGGTTGCGTTTCACCACTTTGCCAATGACCGCGTCAATGAGGAGTGGTTCCTTGGTTCCACGACCACCGCCCCGACATCCATTTTGTGTACGTGACATCACCTGATTTAACTCCAGGTGACGAGTGATTCTCGCGCTCAAAATGGATGTCAGTGTCTTACATATGGTGGGTAGACACGTGGTGGGACGGTATTTGCTCGGATCTGTGGTATTCTAATCTTTAGGAACCAAATGAGTGATTCCAGTAGTGAAGAGGCTCGGGAGCGACTTCTGGTTGAGAGACTCTTGGAACTGTCGGGCGAGTACAGCGTGACACACTACGAACCCCTTCAGCCAGTAATGATGCAGCCCGTCGAGCCCCGCACTTTTCCGGTTCGGTGCCCTACGGACCGCCTCAGCCACGTCTTCTGGCGTTATGGTGACGGGGTCCATAGGCATAACACTCGCACTCTGGCTTGCCACAACTTCCATCCATGGGCCCTCGTTGTGGTTTACGGGCTCTGACCACAGGCCACGCCAAAATGCGACAGTGTCAGCCTGATCCGGTCCTGAGCCCACTCCACATATCTCTAGTCGCTCCAATGATTTATAGAGCCTCTTCTGATCACTCTGAAAAAGACGATTCTGGTTGAACTGCCTTGACCTCTCGCTAAATCGTCGAATCCGCTTCCCCCAAGCAGCGATTTTTGCTTCAGGTCATCTATGCGCTCCGTTAGTTTCTGCGTGATATCCGGCTGGGACAAACTAATATTTGTCCCAGCAAACGCCATTCCAACGGTGCGCACAACTCTCGGTCTATTATTACCAATCCTGAAGCTTGTCAGTCTGCCGATAAGGGCCCTTGCCTTTGCGATACGGTCCTCAATTCTCTTTTTCCAGGCTGGGATGGCGATACTTTGTCGAGTAGCACGTCCAGCAGTAGGAAGTTTGGCGCCAATAATATGGCATACTGCCACTGCGGCGCCAAAAAGAATTGAGTCCGTCTCGCAAAGGTCCCGGCTGGCTTCCAAATAGGTCACCAGGATTCGGTTAAGAGCCCGCACGACTGCTCGATTTCGCTTGCTAAGGGGTATGCGGGGAAGTCGCGGTCGATTTTCGAGAGGCACGCTGCGCGTTTCCAGCATCGACTCTTCCTATATGCTCCTCATTTTCTCTAGTTCGTGTGAAACTATTCCATCATCGTCTGAATCAACCACAAATGGAATAATGACGGCAGCATCCACATTTGCAGTTTGCTGCGCAATTAGTGGCGCCGCATTCCCAGCCGTTGCATTTCCATGCGATGAGGGAACAGCCTCACGTCGTAGTCGTTCGAGTTTGGCGTCACCAAATATGTTGGAGCGCAGGATGTACCGAACTCAGTCTGCCAGGTTTTGCTCAGTGACGGATAGAGATTGCTCCAGCTCTGCAAAAAAGCGATGCATCCGCGCCCGATATGCCAAACATCCGGTTTCTTCCCCTTTTGCCCTAAAGTACGCCCGCAGTGCGTTTGCATTCATTATTTGTAACCAACGCATGCGACGTGCTCCACCAGCGGCGGGTGTCGCTTGCTGAGTCCGAGAAGACCCAGCCGACATCAAGCCTTCTGGTGGGGATGATGGATGCGGAGGGCTGCTAGGTGATCGTGCAGCTCCTCGCGCTTGGTTGGCGGCCCGCATGCTGCCGCGTCCAGCGCCAGCTCCAGACGCGCCCTGGCGACCCCCAGGCAGCGGACCTATGCGCGTTACTCTTTGTGCCATCATCCATTTATGGGCGCCAAATAACGGGAGACGCCCAAGCCCAGCACCGTTTCGTGGTTCAGTCATATGCACAAACGGACCTTTGCACCCACAATTTTGCCTAGGCACGGTGCTCACACCTCTTGGCAGGGCGCTGACTGACTGCGCCGACGTAGTAGTTTTGTCACTTAACTGTTACGTCAGCGGGCGATGGGTTCGTCACTTCCCTACGCCTAACTTATTATTATTATTATTATTAAACCTCGGTACAAAACCGTTATCATATATCCAACCAAAACCTAACGAACGTACGAAAACGAAACCGAAACGCATAACGCAAACTGTGGTACGATATCCCAAAACCGAAAACTGCCCACTAACCGATGACCTTCGTTGATATTCATCGCTTCTCGTTCTTGCAACGATAGTTTAAATAAGTATAGAAAGAGATGAAGCGAATATGGATATCGTTGCGATGTTTTGGTAGTTATCAAACAACGGTGCTCATTGCGAAATATAATATATAGCTAAAATAATAAGGTCGAATTTTAAATAGTTAAAATTGCCTAAATTTTAAGTGTGTGTAGTTGTGAGAGTTATCAAATTTCAAACGATCTTTAGCTCATTAGGCACAAGGCTTAGATTTTTAAAACGTAAAACACAACACCGGAACGATATGCCAAAACGGCTTACGAACTAAACCGATGCGATGTCCTTCATTGATATTCATTGTTTCTTGTTCTTACGACGGTATCATAAATTCGTATAGGAAGAGAGGATTTCTGTTTTGGTAATTTTAGTTTCACACGGTACCTACGCAATGCACATCGGGATATAATTACCTAAAGCAAAAAGGTCGAATTTCAAATGGTTAAAATTGCCTAATTTTTTAGTTTGAGTAGAGGTGAGAGTTGTCAAATTTAAATGATTTTTAGGACAATAGACACAAGACTTGCATTTATATGATCATATTATATTTGGTTTAGGAAACTTTATGTTTATGTTTTTTATATTTTGGATGGAAAGTTTAGAATTTGCTTTTTTCTAGAACGCAACAATTTAATACGCACTTGGTCTTGGTGGCCCGTGCTCGTGCCATTCGCTAAGATACCTAATAACATCCATGAAGTTATTAATTTTTGACGTTGCGTTTATGTATTTTTTGCAATATTTGTGTGTATTTTGTGCGTTAGGTAGTTGTAATTCAGATAATTATGTGTAAAGTGTAAATATAATATAGCATAGTATAGTTTAAGTTGATTTAGTCTTCTAATCATTTTTGAATATAGACTTTCAAAATGTCGCGTAAGGCTGGTGTAATAGGGTCTCACTTCGATAAAAAAGACAATTCCGACCACTTCTTCCACCGGCGCCGAATCAGCGGCTAGTGCAAATAATAAATATAAACCTGTGAATTTTGAAATTGAATTGAGAATTCGAATTTAAAACTTTTCTGCTAATTCTAAGCCTAGTTAAGCATGAAGGAAATTCGCGTACTTAAATAATTGTTAATAAATAAACTAACTAAAATACTTTTCTTTAAATGTATATAAATTATGTTCACTTCTTAAGAATACACTTTAATTATAGACTTTGAAATCAGACTCTGACCCTATGTCTCAATTTAAAACAAAAAATGGGTAACAAAATTATAGAAATAAATAAGGATAGAATGAACGTAATTTTATTCACTACCCGATTATTATCCCGTGGGTGTCATAAAAGGCGACATAAGGAAACAGATCAGGAGATGGGCAGCAATTTTTTTAGGTTTATACCATCTAGCATCTACTCTACATACCACCTTGAGAGTCAATCAATGTTTGTTCGATAAAATATCTTTACCTGTACAACATAGTAGATGGCGCTATTACCTTGGTAACTGTCTTAAATAAAATTAATATAAGATTAGTATTTGAACAAAAAACCGTTGTAATCTTGTAATTGTAGTACTATATACTTTATAGTATGTAATGCCCTGCGTTTGCGACTTGAATGATCGACCGAATGCCCAGTACGTACGTAGTGTTAACACCCGCCACTTTTCGTCATACAAAAAGGTTGCGGATCAGTATTTCAATCAAAGCCCTCCCGTAAAAAGTTTCACTTCAAAAAAACCTGTGGTTGCCAACCCGCTTGCCAAGCGTGGCAACATGGCAAATATCCCACCTATGATACAATCTATGGGGAGGCCTATGTGTTCAGCAGTGGACTTTAATAAGCTGTAACAGTGACGGTATAATTTATTACTGCATAAAATTGAATATACAAAAATTATATATTAACATACATGTTTAAATATTACATCTAAGATAACAATAACGTTAGAACCTCTGACTTCTAATCTAGAATAATCTATGTAATTCATAAAATACATGTTGCACTGGTAGTGTAGTTTGCGGTTATGGTTCGGTTGTCATTTGCACATTCAGTAGCAAACCATTACTATTGATATCGATATCTGAAAACGGATTTCAATAACGATATGAAAAATAGATATCGGTGATACAGGTGATAATGCATGTGCATTTTGATAATAAATGTAGATGTCTATGGGCCACTGCAAATACTATACTTACCATCAGGTGGACTTTGTGCTCGTTTGTCACCCTATACTATAAAAAAAGAAAGAAGAAAATTATCCTTTCACAGTTGACTCCATCTGGTGGTGCAATTGTTTTGTTGTTTCATGATTTCAATTGGCTAGATAAACGTGATTTTTGCTGAGTAAATTACAGCCCCTGTACATACACTTAGTTGCAAGTCGCAATTTTATTGTTATTCAAATATTATTATAGAAGACGAAGACGGTATGTCCATTTCCTGGTTCATTTTTCCTTTATCGCTTGTCAGGTATTTGACGGATATGGATGGCTCAGGACCATAGCCTTGTGATGAGCAGTGGTAACAGTACGTTTTTAGCACAATTAGGCTCGTTCACGCTCTCACGGAATGCGAGCGTGAAATAGTAACTTAATGTGTTAAGTATGATGAAATCGCATTTACGTTTTGATTTTTAATCGAATATAGACTTTGGGTCACTCCTTACTTAGTAACATCATTTGAGCTGTACCACAGTATCCACTTAACATCAGGTAGACTGTGCGCTCGGTTGTCATCCTTTTTACATATCCAGTCCAAACGAACTCCTAGGCCGAAAAGTAAGCTTACATACCTAGAAAACGCTGAACCTACTAAGCTAATGCGATTAAATTACAGGTTGTCTTAAAAGTACACATTATAGTTGCCTTTGAAGTGTTCGAATGACGCCATAATTATTCTACTAGTTGTATTTTTTCCCGGAGAAGCAAATACTCTCCGTCCACAAAATCACTATTTAAAAATAATACCTAAGTATATTTAAAATATATTTGGCAAAACAATGTTCTTCCGAAAGAGCTGTTACAAAAATAAAGGCTAAATAATACTCCGAAGTCTACCCACCAAACAAGCATTCTGACATAAGCGATGTAATAAAAATTATATACGCAGCCATTTTGAAATAAAATTGTACTCTGGACATAAGCCAAAACAATTATATCTCTGGTAAGTGGACACGGCTAAACAACAGAGCTTACGGTAGATTACCTTCGTGGGGGATTAAGTGTGCCAGTTTTGGCTGCCGATTTCGTTATATTAAATTTTTGAAGGGCTTCAAGGGTTAGTTTTATTTTTGAATTAGATTAAAAATATTAATTTTATGCGTAATTTTAGTCGACTTTAAAAAGGAAAGAGGTTAAAATTAAACATAATATCTACTTGGTTACGTTTAATCTTAGATTTTATCTAGGTATCTATCTCGATAAAACCTTTAGAAGTATTTTTATTCATGTTGTTATTTTTTATATTCACATTACCACATTTTTATGATTGTATCTAACCTTATCTATTCATTGTTCAGTGCCCACAAAATCACGCATGTTGCATGGCGTTGTTAGAACATGAGAAATAGTCATTTCCTTCAATTTTTTCCTTATAATTACAGTTACAGACTATATAAGTACTACTGCTGAGAGCTGGCGTCTTCTCATTTCTGAAAGGAGTACTGAGCAATAAGTCGGTCGTGCTGCTTCAGGGTGTGTTGGCGTACTACTTTCGCTACTATAAGCCAGTGCTTGACTATTATTCCTCCTGATAGTAAGTGGACATGTAGGTAGCCAAAGGAAGGTTAAACTTATTGACTTTTTTTACATGTGGAAATACCTACGCACACTTGATTCGCGGAGCAAGGACGATTTACGTCAGACTTGCAATGACTAAAAACCCTTGGCGTACCACCTTTACCCGTTAACCGCTAAAAAGAACCCCTTTGTCGTATCCCCTCAGTTTCAAGGCACTCCCCTTGTTGCCTCAGCCAGTATCGGAATCCTCGGCGTCGACATATCGAGTGACGTGCAGTTTCGTGGTCACTTGGAAGGGAAGGCCAAATTGGCCTCTAAAAAGCTTGGCGTGCTCAGCAGAGCGGGACAGTATTTCATGCCGGCACACCGCCTGCAACTTTACAAGGCGCAGGTTCGGCCGCTCATGGAATACTGTTCCCATCTCTGGGCTGGGGCTCCCCAGTACCAGCTCCTTCCACTTGACCGCATCCAGCGCAGAGCGGCTCGAATCGTTGACGACCGAGTGCTTTCCGATCGGCTCGATTCACTGGCGCTGCGAAGAGATGTTGCATCTCTTTGCGTATTTTATCGCATCTATCACGGGGAGTGCTCTGAGGAATTGTTCGGATTAATCCCAGCCGCCAAATTTCGTGAACGCACTACACGGCAAACGTCCCGATACCATCCACACCATCTGGATGCTTGGCGGTCCACCACTGTACGTTTCAAAAGGAGTTTTCTTCCGCGTACAACCTCTCTGTGGAATAATTTACCACCGGTGATTTTTCCGGACCGATACGACCTGGGGACCTTCAAGAAAAGAGCTTACTCCTTTCTAAAGGGCCGGCAACGCACCTGCAATTCCCCTGGTGTTGCGGTTGATCATGGGCGGCGGTAGTCACTTAACATCAGGTGAGCCACATGCTCGTTTGCCCCCCTCTTCTATAAAAAAAAAAAAAAAAAAAAAAAACCTTTCGCCACATTTGA